GAGTYCTGTCCCTGATAAAAGACTTAGCCATTTTTAACACTTAATATCGTTGTTGATAGTTAGCTAGTATTACATTTTCATTAATGAAATCCGTAAAACAGTTTACAAACTAAATTAGGCAAATAAGTATGAAAWACTTTTTGTCTTCCATTTTTGGGGTTAGTGCATTTTATTTGCATGGATACATTTAGCAGAATTAGTTGCTTAGTTGTATATCTCACAAGTGAGCATCAATTAAGATGATATTGCGGTTCCTTTTGCACGATTATCGACGTAACTAATTGCTAAACAAAATCTCCACCGGGTCGCCATCTTTACGCAACTTGGTCAACAATATCGTGTGTACAAAGACTCGCTTAGCGAATAATTCATGACTTCCTATCAAATCATGCGTTGTTCAACACTCTACTAGTAAAATWTTCGGGTTGGGTACCGCGTGATCTTAATCTTCCAATAAGCTCAATGCAAGATGTTTCACAAACTGCTCATACTAGTAGATAATTTMTACATTATCCCGTTGATGTTGAGGATTATTTGCCTCTATCCACATGCTATCCACACAGCATGAAAAAAATGCTGTTTTTTTCAACAACATCCCAGAAAAACATTGTCTCACCGTTTGCACTTCTTTGCTTCGAAGACCGGATAAATCTCCCAGAGAGCTGCTAAAGCTAGCGAGTCTGAATGGGGTATAATGCTTAGTGTGTTTTTTATTTTTTTTTAAGAATTGTTTCAATTTTTTTTAAATCTTTATTAAATGATTTGCTTAAAGTATGTTTGATACTATAAAAACTACTTAAATTGCTTATTGCAGGTCATATAGGATGTATTGTTCACATTTTACCTGATTTTTTCGAGGAAAAAAAATAACTGTTACGGCTATTTTTTAACTGTTAGTGTTATAAGGCCTGAAATTTTAATGTTTCGTGTTACAGAGTCCAAAAAAAGCGTTTAGTGTTAAAGACTTCCCCATTCAGACCCCCGATAAAGGATAACTTTCCTCTCAGAGAGTATAGATATAGCTTTGTGGATCGATCAATGCTTGCAATGACTCAATAGGAAAACACAATTCCGAATGAGAACAAACACATACACAACCACATGGAAAGAAGACTTTCAAGGAGAAATGAAGTTTTTCGTTTGTGAAGATCTGGAATTGTTATAGCATAGTAATATTCTTGTATTGAGTAAATGAACACCGTATTGAATTCGACTTTCGTTTCATAATTGCACAGAAACGTTAAGAAAAAATTGAAAGTGTTAATAAACTTATCCAAACGTCTTCATGATTATCAGATTTTTCTTTTAAAAATGTGGGACAGATATGGTTCAGCTTGTACATATCAACGCTAAAAATTTCAAAATATAAAGTGCATAATAATACGGTAATACGTCTAGAGATCAGACATGGAATTTTTCTTACATGCGTTATCAAGTACATGCAACTCCGTAGAAGAATTAAAAAATCCACAGTTGGCAACGCCTGCCTCTCTCAAAGCTTCCCTCGCAGCTGTAATAACGACTGGACCCGCTTGTCCTTTTGCTGTTGTTCTCAACTCTTTGGTGCTTTTAGCATTCTATAACAAACCATCTCTACGAACCCAAAGCAATGCCATAATTGTATTATGGCAGCAAACGATCTGGTCAAAGCTGGAATTGGTGGCGCGTTTTTCATTTCGAAGGAAATCAATTACCAAATGGAACACGACCCAAAATGTCCTGTTTTGGTAGGATTTACTCTAAGGGCATCGATCGTATCTGACATCATAGTTGCTGGTATGAACTTAGAGAAATACGTCGCTCTTAATCTTCGATTCCCTTACTGGCACCGCGTCAACGTCACAGCAAGGCGTATATTGAACACTGCACTCGTGTCCATCCTTGCAGGGTATTTGCTGACAGTTATCCGCGTTTTTTCTGAAGCGGGAAGGTTTCTTGTAGTGCTTCCGTTTGCCATATGCATTATTTCAACCTTTATCTTCGCAGTCTCTATTTGGAGAGTGATCTCAAAGCTCAATCGTCAAATTCAA